GGGGGGGGTAGGTCAGGGCAATCGAAATCCCGTCAGGCAGTTCGGGGGCCTGACCCCGTGTGTAGATGCCACTCGCCATCTGTCTGAAACAGCCCTTTCCATTGGTTCCCCTGGAAGTCGTCGTTGAAGCATAACTTGCCTGCAGTAGAAAAGAGCACCGATGACTTGGCGTCTTTTTGAGGTCACCATGGCGGGGCACCTCTGGGTAGAAGAAAGCTTGCAGGAGCTACGGGAGCAACAGCAAAGTGCCTTCCAATGGTTTATTTTATTTTCTGAGCCTGAGTTGTGGGTGTCAGTGTCGGGGGTGAGGCTGGCTGTCGAGGGCCTGCCTGTGTGAGTGAATTACACGTGATCAGAGAGGTTAGCAGCTTCATCCGGGGAGTAGGGCTGGAATCGGAACCCAAGAATGTGGCCTGTGTCCAGGGCCCTGACTCATCCAGCTGATCATTTCCAGGATTGGCTACTCAGCTCACCATAGGCTGCTGCTCGCCTCGCTCACCAGCTGGGCTCCTGGTCATCCTCTGCTTTCCTGGATCCACGGATGTGCAGGGAACTAGCACATTATGGACCAGCCCAACCGAATGGCTGGTGGTGGTTGGTCAGGTCCTAACTTAGGTGCTACCGGGGATGCTGACCCAGCTACCCAGTTCAAGCCCAGCCCACGGCCAGCCGCGGCCCCAGGGCCAGCGCTCTCTATACGGACGTCTGCTCTGCTGTCATCGTGGCATTTGTCATGCTCCAAAATGATCTTGTGTGTTTCTTTGCTTGTATGTTGTCTGCCCCTGACCCCAGACTGGAAGCTTCTCATACAGTGATTGCGTCCACACGTGCTCACGTGCTCTGTGCTCACAGGGCACCCGGCACATGTGTCCGCTGAGTGAGGGAGTACTTGTAATGACGTTGGAGAGTGGAGGGTCAGCTCCCGGACCTCGGTGACTTTCCATGAGCTCTTACTCAAGCGATGGCCTTAACCACGGGTGACACTTTTAGCCTGAGCCCCCCCCCCCCAAACTGCAGTTGCTTCTTTATACCCGAAACATGGTGAACACCTGCATCCCCTTATACACATTTATGCCAACATCACGTTTCAGCATAAAAACTTTTCTTTTTGTGAAAAAGAAGTTAAAATATTAAACACTTGTATAAGATGAGATGAAACACGCAAGTACCTTCTGGAACATCTTGTGTTCGACTCTGCACTTCTCACCCCTCATCCCTGTGCTGTTGGGGAAGAGGAGGAAAAGGCGGAGCTCCAGGGAGGATGGTGCGAGAGGTGGGAGGGGGCTCTCCTTTTCAAAAAGGTCCACAGAGACGAAGAAACTCGGGGTCTAGGGGAAACTGAGGCAGAGGCAGGTGCTTATAGGACCACGAAAGCCCTTGGGATGTGCTGTGAGTTTTAAAAAGAGGAGGGAAGGACGAAGGAGAGTAAGACAAAACTTTCGTCAAAATGTGGTGCGGCTTCCCTGCTCTGCTGGGGACCCAGGACTCCTGGGCGGAGCGATGGCTGCAGCCACCTCTGACGGTATCCCCTACAGCTGCTTCGACTTCTGCCAGAAGCCACAGGACTAGGGAGGGTGGCTTCTGCTTTACCAAATAAGGGAGCAAAGGTTTATTTCGGTTTGAGATTCAACCTGCGTTTTTGGCTTAAGAGATTTACTCTGCCGTGTTTTTATGACTTTTTCTCTCCCAGAGCCTCTCTTGCCGGAGGGAATTTGTGCAGATGACTAGTGGATCATAGAACGAATCCCTGATTGCATAAGTCGGTCAGCCCCTGTCTGCGCTTCCTTGGCGTGAGGCCAGCGCAAGTGTGCCATGCCTGTGCGCAGCTGAGAGAGAGCATGTGTCCGTCCATCTCTGCACATTCAGATGCCCTTGGGAGCAGTGGCACCGTGGGGACATCAGATGAGATGAGGGGAAAACCAGTGGCTTGGGAGAAGGATTAGTGGAGTATTGTTTCCAGGAACCCGGGAGGACTCTTCAACAGTCTTCTCCTTTGTCACCTGCAGCTGCCACAATGTGTGCAGCAGGGTGTGTCTTGTGTCCCCGTGGTTTTCCCGGAGGCCGTCACCTTTCTCTGCTTGCCCCTTGGGACTCAGGGCGCTGCTTTGCTCCACTCGTACGCTCACACCGGGCAGGACAGCTCCTCTGTTTTCTAGGAACTGGTTTGTTCCTGGCCACTGGGAGCCGAGGAATCCAGCCAAGGGCTTTGTGGCTCCGGAATGTCTCCCAGCCTCCTGCTGGCCTGTCTTCCTTCTCCTCTCTCTGCATGGCTGATGGTGTGCAAAGATGGAAGGAGGAACAGCTCTGTATGTCGTGCTGGCTTCCTCTCTGCCTCCTCCAGCCTCCAGGTCCAGGAGGCAGATCCTAGGCCAGCACTAAGGGCGTGGGACCTTAGTTTGGTCACCAGCCCAAGTGTGGGACCATGTCGGCGCGTCCAGCTTAAGAGGAGGCGTCTTCCTTTGAGCTTGTGCCTGTCGGTGGCCTGGTGGCCTTCCCTCCTCCCCCGTGGGCCCTCACCTGCTTCGAGAGAGGCACAGCCCTCTCTGAGTCTGCCGTCTGCCTAGCCTGGGTGCAGCCGGAGCAGCCTGGCCTGCGCCCGTGTGGCCGGTGCTGGGCGCGCTGCCGCATGGCTGATGAGGAGAGCTGGGCAGTGCTGCCTGGCTGGGAGCGGGTGGCCGGTCTGTTGCTCCCCAGTGAGCACCCTTGTCACTAGGATGCCAGAGTCGCCTGAGAGTCTCAGGGCAAGATGCCAGCCAGGGAAATACAGTGGCTTAAATGTCCGGAACAGGGTTTTGGGCTGTTCTCTTGAAAACCCAGTGAAAGCCTCTCTCCCTGGCGTTTTGCTTATTGAGATTACGAGGAACATGGAGCTTCCCAGGGCCCTGCTTGGGGTGTGGTGACCTGGAGCTTCGGAGGCCCGGTGACCTGCCAGCCCTTCCACAGGGCTCTGGCATCCATCGAAACTTGGAAAGGGAGGAGCAGGAAAGGGCAGGAGAGTCTCAGGGACAGGAATTTATCTGTCACCCTTTCTGGGGAGCCAGCATTCTAGGTCCCTGACCTACTTTCATTTAATAAACTCTTACTTTTTACAATTGCCTTCTTTAAAAGGTGGTTGTGGGGGTTTTTGTGCGTGTGTGGTGAGGAAGATTGACCCTGAGCTAACATCTGTTGCCAATCTTCCTCATTTTTTTTTTTCCTCCCCAAAGCCCCAGTACATAGTTATATATCCTGGTTGTAAGTCATTCTACTTCTTCTATGTGGGACACCACCCCGCACGGCTTGATGAGTGGTGCACAGGTCCGTGCCCAGGATCCAAACTCGAGAACACCAGACTGCCAGCGTAGCACGTGAACTTAACCATTCAGCCATGGGGCTGGCCCCCTAAAAGTTATTTTTTTAAGAAGGCCGCTCAGACCTACTGTGTAGAGGGTGGGAAATTGATGCTTGGCTTCTCTCTGTATTTTGACTCCGGGGACCCGTTTCCTGTTGCTACCTGCTACCTCGATTTACATATTGCATTTGGAAAGCCCTCTCCGATTGTTAACCTCACCCTCCTTGGTGTTGGGAGTCCCTTGCTTACACTCCCAGGGGTGCTTTCCGCTCTGGGGTTGGCCACCAGTTCCCTGGCTGGGTTTAGGGCTGCCCTTTTGAATTTGGGGTGGAGTGGGTCCCTGCCACGCATTTCCTGAAAACAAGATGGAGCTGCAAGGTGTGACAGCCGGGCTCTGGCCACCAGGGGGCCCTAGTCCCGCTGGATTGTAAAATGCCAGGGCCTCCGAGGTGGGAATGATACAGGAATTTCTGTGGAATCCTTTAGAGTTTGTTGTGGGGCACAGGAATTTGCTCGTCACCACGCGCCGCTTCATCCATGCCGCCTTTCTCTGTTGCCCTTCGCAGCCTGTGGGCCGAAGCTGACCAACTCCCCCACGGTGATCGTCATGGTGGGCCTCCCAGCCCGGGGTAAGACTTACATCTCCAAGAAGCTGACTCGCTACCTCAACTGGATTGGGGTCCCCACAAAAGGTGAGGCCTTGTCCGAGGGCCTGGGCGGTCCCAACAGGTAGCGGGACCCTGCTCGCGAGCCCCCTACGACCCAAGAAAATGGCCCTTCCATTTCCAGCTGCTGGGGCTCCCCTTGGGGGCCACTCTTGGGCTGGTCTGTCCTATGCAGTGGGGGGACCCTTTTCGGCTGCGTCACCCACCACGTGGTAGACACACCCTGACTTTGTGTTGGGACTTTTCTCACTGGCCTCTCTTACTCCCACGGCCCTGAACCCTGCCACCACCACCCCCGCCCCAATTCCTTAGGATGCCTTTTCCAGCCACCACGGTCTGTGCAGTTCTTTTTCCTTTAAATTCCCCTGGCACTCCGTTGTGACATTCCTTCCTCTACTGACTGTCACAACGTGCTCTATACCGTTGATTGTATTTTTATGACTCTTTGCCTGCTCTTCCCAAGTACATGGGAAACGTCTCGAGGATGGGGACTAATGTTCACATTTGCTGTCCCCCACTGTGTGGTGTCCAGTAAGTGCCCATTGGGCTGTTGCGTCAGAAGAATGGCTGGTTTGGACCCGTGTGTGTGTGTGAGACCCCGCTCTCTCCCGGGTACTGTTGGCAGAAATCCTTGCCCTTGTTTTTGCTAGACGTGTGGCTACCACCTGTTCTCACGGTCTCAGCCTCAAGCCCGAGGCTGGACTGGAGACTAGGCCACAGGAAACAACCTCCAGAACAGCAGGCCGCCACGAGCAGTGTTTGGTCTGGGGAAGATGGGCTGCCATATAGGTGGACGTGAGCACTGGACGTGGAGTCCACTCTCTGGTCTCCATGAATTATCAGAATCTTGCTCATGTTAGCATTGGCTTGTTGGCTTGGGTTCCTGTTTTGGAGACAGTGGCCCCTTCTTCCTGGGGTCAGCTGAGGGTCTTGTCCTCTCTGTCCGCAGTGTTCAACGTCGGGGAGTACCGCCGGGAGGCCGTGAAGCAGTACAGTTCCTACAACTTCTTTCGCCCTGACAATGAGGAGGCCATGAAAGTCCGGAAGTAAGGCCCGAGCTGCCATGGGAACTTGGGTTTGGGTTTGCTTTGCTTTTTTCTCCTCCTCCCCAAAGCCCCAGTGCATAGTTGTATATCCTAGTTGTAAGTCATTCCAGTTCTTCCATGTAAGCTGCTGCCACAGCATGGCTACTCACAGATGGGTGGTGTGGTTCCAGGCCCGGGAACTGAACCCAGGCCGCTGAAGCCGTGAGAACACCGAACTTTAAGCAGTAGGCCGTAGTTTGCTTTGCTTTTTTAAAGCTAGATTTTGTAAGAGAAAGAGGAAGCTGGCCTGCAATGTGGCCGTCAGCTCTGGCCCCAGCTCCGGCCCCACCTCCGTGTGTACGGGTGAGTCTCTGCGGCTCACTGCTTTCATCTGCTCCCAGATGGTCTCATTCAGCCGCTGTGATACAGATCAACGACAATGGCTCATTAAGAACGAACAAAAGGGTTTTCATGGGACATCATCTGTTTACATTTGAAAAGGATTTTTTTTAAGCCCAGGGTGATCATGAAACCCTAGTGCAGCCGCGTTCAACCCTGGCTGACCTTTAGAATCTGGGAGCTTGGAAAGATCCTGATGCCAGCCCTGCCCTAGATCAGTGCAGTGAGAATCTCTGGGCCAGCCCTGGGCATCAGCTTTTTTTTTTTTTTTCTTTTGAGGAAGATTAGCCCTGAGCTAGCATCTGCTGCCAATCCTCCTTTTTTTGCTGAGGAAGACTGGCCCTGAGCTAACATCCTTGCCCATCTTCCTCTACTTTTATATGTGGGATGCCTGCCACAGCATGGTCTGACAGTGGTGCATAGGTCCACACCCAGGATCTGAACCGGCAAACCCTGAGCTGCCAAAGTGGAGCCTATGAACTTAACTGCTAGCCGCAGGGCCAGCCCTGGCATCAGCTTTTTTTAAAAGCTCTGGGGGATCTCAGTGTGCAGCCAGCCATGAGCCCCACTTCCAAGGGCGACTGCCGTCCGTCCGGGGCTCCAATTGGGAGCCTCTGGGCCCGGCCGCCCTGGCTGGCAGAGCGCTTTAGCAGTAGAGGGCAGTTTCTCTGTCTCGGGGGGGAGCGGGGTTGCTGGGGCCGCCCCGGGCAGACAAGCTGGCTCTGATGTGAGGGCCCTTCCCCTGTGTGTTGCAGGCAGTGCGCTCTGGCTGCCTTGAGGGACGTCAAAAGTTACCTGACGAAGGAAAGCGGCCAAATTGCAGTAAGTTCTAGGAACGTGCCAGCTCCTGGTCCCATCCTGGAGCGGGGTGGTGCCCTGGAGAGATGTAGGCGCTGGCCTGAGTGGTGCCGAGAGCCACATGGGGACACGTCAGATTGGGACACATGCTTCTGGCCTGAGAGTTGAGGGAAGCAGGTGGCCAGAGCAGCACAGGGACCCGGAAGGCGGTTGGCAGGGGTGGCCTCGGGAACAGCCGGGTGGTCAGTCCTCCTCTGTGAGCAGCCGGGCAGCACCCGGCCCCTGGGCGGCTGCGGACGTGGTAGCCAGGGTCCCTTCAGCGCACCCTCCCCTGCATATTACTGTAGTCTGTTTGCTTTAATGACTGTTCCCGCCCTCCCCTTCTGTCCCTGAGTGCTGGAGGGGGTGGGAGACGGAAGAAAGAGGGCGGGGTGAGGGCAGGGCGCAGCCTCTCCCCTGGAACCCCATTTGTGGCCTCTCCCTGAAAGTGTCAGGCCTGACCTGCTTGCTGGTTTGGCAAATACTGTTAAACTCATGTTGTCTGTGATGCCCGTCTTTCTCATGATCAGGTTTTCGATGCCACCAATACTACTAGAGAGAGGAGACACATGATCCTTCATTTTGCCAAAGAAAATGATTTCAAGGTGAGCCAAACTTGTTATCTTGCCTCGGAGTGCTCAGGAGCAAGGAAAACCCCTCAGGGATGGGCAGATTCCTGTGTCTGGAGCGCCTGGCTTTGCTCCGTGCTTGGTCCTCCACTCCCAGCTGCCCTGTTTTGCTGTCTATAGGTTGGGTCTTCCTGGTGAGGCTCTTAGGGTTGCCATGACTAGGGAGGGTGGGAGGGGACTTGGCATTGAGGGGGTGGTCCTTTTTATGTTTTGGGGGATTCGTGAATGAATGGAGTCCTTCCTCCTCGAATGTGGTGAGAATATCACAGCCAATACCAAACTTGGCCCTTTGTGTTTACCGCATTTGTTGCTTCCTAACGTTTCTGTCTGGCTTCCTCCCAGGTGTTTTTCATCGAGTCCGTGTGCGATGACCCTAGGGTTGTAGCCTCCAACATCATGGTAAGACAACGTAGGACCCCCACTCTAGTGTGGTAATCTGAGAGAAGTGGGAAGCCAGGTCAGGCCGGGAGACGGAACTAGACCTGAGAGTTGAGGGAAGCAAGCTCAACTCAGAGAACAAGCTGGCTCTCCCAGCTTGTTGCTGATGTTGTCTGAGAGGTGGGGTCCAGGTGGTCGGCTGTGGTAATTAACTTAGAGTCTTGTTCTGTGACCTGGACTGACCTTGTCTGGGGTCCTTTCAGTCAGTCGGCAGAAAGTAGTCTTTGTGGGGTACAGCAGATAAAGTGGGGGACCTGGAACAGTTTCTGTAGGTGGCGGAAGCTTGGCCATGGGGTGTTGATGGGGCTGCTTGGGGCAAAGGCACCTCACCCCTCCAGAAGGTGAAGGAGGTCCCTGGTAGGTAAGAATGGTCATGTATTGACAAGCCCACAGGACCCAGCAGAGTAAAGGCAGAATCCCCAAGTTTGGGAAAAATGGGTGTGGTAAAATTACCTTCTGGCTGATGTGTCTACAACATACCCTCCTCCCCTCCCCATGCCAAGGGGAGGTAGCCCCAATAAATTAAGGGTAATTGGCAGCTTAATTTGATTAATTCTTGAATTTTATCACTTGATAGCAATAGATCGTAAACAGAAACAGTTACTGTAATGACCTGACCACGAGTCACCTTCTTATGATGAAGATCGTTTTCTCTGCAGCTTAAATGCATCAGGATAAGACGTACCCGTTAGACAGGCAGGTCTGATCCTCCTCCAGGGCACGCCGTGGCGTTGCTTCATACAGGTGGCATCTTTCGAGGGATGCTGAGCGTTCATTAGATTCTGCTATTGGCCTTTTCTCCAAGGCAGTGGGAATATTTACACGCATTTCTAAGACATGAGTTCATATTTCAGGAAGGGCTGTTCAGATTGTGGAAATCAGTCCAGAGTTGTTTCAGCCGGTCCAAAGGAAGAGGCTCAAAGGACAAGAAAACAGAAGTTGCCGTGATTGAAACAAAGGGTTTCGCTGTGTTTCTTTGGTTCGGTTTTACTAGTCCCACTTGGTAGTGAAGCCAAGTGCAGCTGCAGAATCGTTTCCCCAGTGAGCAGGCGCCGCGAGCTTGGCTGAGAGCCCGCCATTTATCTTGTACCCCATTAACGCATTTAGTCATTGGCCCTGACCCTCAGTATTCGGAAATCTCTTTCTCTGATTAAGCCTCAAAGCAACCGTGCAGCTTGGGCCCTTCCACGGCGCTCCTTATGTAGGAGGCCTAGCTACGGATTTTTGAACTTAGATTTTTTTGTTCTATTGTGGTCAAATATCCATAACATAAAATATACCATCCTCACCATTTTTAAGTGTTAATTCTGTGGCATTCGGCACATTCACATGGTTATGCAACCGCCGCCACCATCCACCTCCAGAACTTTGTCATCTTCCCAGACTGAACCTCTGCACCCACGAAACACAAACTCCCCGGTGACCTTGAACTTTTGGACAGTGGCTGCCTCTCTTTCATGGCTGTGGTAGTTGTTGAGGTGGAAGAGCAGATGCATTAAAAAATTCTAAGTTCCCCCTGAATCTGCCAGGTTTCTCAGGCCTGTCGTTCAGTCACGGGAAAGGCGGGCCCGAGGATCGGTCCTCCCCATCTCCTTCCCACGAGAGCAAACCTTGCGGAGGGCTGGGCGTGTGGTCCAGGTGGAGATGCGGGCTGTCTGGGGTGACTGGCGACTGAATTGCTCCCAAATTGTGGCGCCTCCCGAGGCGTTCATTAGAATCCTCGTGGGTGTCCTGTCTCCATCCTTCCAGGCAGCGGTACTCTGCCGCGGCCGCCTTTCCCACGTCATCATCAGGTTATGACTCAATCCGAGGCGTCTCTTTTTCTCTCTTAAACGCTGGGTAGGATCATCGCTGTTCTGCGCCTGTCTGTGCTCTCCCTGTTTGCAAGCCCCAAATCCTGCTTCCTGTAAGCAGAAAGCCTTCCAGCGTGATTCATCAGCTGCCCCTTTGTGGTGTTCCAGGAAGTGAAAATCTCCAGCCCGGATTACCGAGACTGCAACTCGGCAGAAGCGATGGAGGACTTCATGAAGAGAATTACCTGCTACGAAGCCAGCTACCAGCCCCTCGACCCCGATCAGTGCGACAGGTAGTTCCTGAGAGCTGACTGTCCCCAGATCACCTGCTTTAGGGCTCTTAATGCTTTCTTGATGTTCCCACAACACGTTTGCTCCTGAATACTGTCACAAAGTTTCTTTTAAAATGTCTTTTAGAAAATCCCTGATTCCGTATTCAGTGTGGATATTTCAGACCCTAACTGTGTAAAAGCCTGGGAAGTGAATATCTGAGCCCAGTCTTGCTACTTGGATATTTCCTTCCTTTGTTTTTTGCTTTTTTTTTTGGTGAGGAAGATTTGTCCTGAGCTAACATCTGTTGCCAATGCTCCTCTTTTTTTGCTTGAGGAAGATTAGCCCTGAGCTGACATTTGTACCAGTCTTCCTCTACTTTGTGGGATGCTGCCACAGCGTGGCTGATGAGTGGAGTAGGTCCATGCCCAGGGTGTGAATCCACGAACCTGGGCCACCAAAGTGGAGTGTGTAGAACTTTAACCACTTAGCCATGGGGCCAGCCCCTCCAGGTTTTTTTTCCCCTGCTCTCTTGCTTTTTCTCTTCCTCTTCTGGGGAGCCAGCCAGCCTCCTGACCACACACTGCTGTAGGTACTGCCCACGCACATTCTCTGACTCTCCAAGAAAGGAGATTCTGTCTGTGCCCTCAGGTTGCTGCAGCCAGCCGCTGGAGTCGTGTTGGGGCTGATTCTCTGCAGTTGGCCCGGGGCCGGAGGATTTGCTGGTCTGACCCGCTGGGGTGTTCTGACCCGCTGGTCGTCTTCCCGTGCAGGGACCTGTCGCTGATCAAGGTGATCGACGTGGGCCGGCGGTTCCTGGTGAACAGAGTCCAGGACCACATCCAGAGCCGCATCGTGTATTACCTGATGAACATCCATGTGCAGCCTCGCACCATCTACCTGTGTCGGCACGGCGAGAGCGAGCACAACCTCCAGGGCAAGATCGGAGGGGACTCAGGCCTGTCCAGCAGGGGCAGGAAGGTAGGAGGGGAGCAGGGGCAAGGCAGGAAGCTGAGGGGTGGGGGGTGGTGTGTGTGTGAAGGGCGGGGCCTCCTGGGGCTTTGGGGAATTGCTTTCAGGCTCTTCTTCCCCATTCTAATGACGGCAGAGCGACCGTCCCTAATGTGAACGGGCACGAGTCCTCTGCTGCCCCAGGAGGGGCAGGAGCCTGGAGTCCAGTGTGTGTCCCTCTCGTCCCTCTCAGTTTGCCAACGCCCTGAGCAAGTTCGTGGAGGAGCAGAACCTGAAGGACCTCAAGGTGTGGACCAGCCAGCTGAAAAGTACCATCCAGACCGCCGAAGCCCTCCGGCTGCCCTACGAGCAGTGGAAGGCGCTCAACGAAATCGACGCCGTGAGTCCCGGGTCTGGCCGGGCCGTGGGGGTGGGAGCAAGAGGGCACGGGGGCCTCTTCCCGTCGAATCCTAGAAATCCTGAGAGCTCTTTCAGATCTGCACGTGCCACGTTGTGACCAGCTCGAGGTGGCTGTTAGGGGCGTGTTCCCCCAGGTGACCTCTGGGTGTTTCCTCCAGGGTGTTTGTGAGGAGATGACCTACGAGGAGATCAAGGACACCTACCCCGAGGAATATGCTCTGCGCGAGCAGGACAAGTACTATTACCGCTACCCCACTGGGGAGGTACGTGTGCCCGCCCTCACTTCCGTCTCTGGTCAGCTGTTCCTCCTGTGGATGATGGGCGGGTGTTGTTGGTCTGTGCTGGATGTGGAGGAGCTCACGATGGTCCTTCCAAGGCCAAGGGTGTGGGCCGGGCCAAGAGGGGGCTGCTGGGGACCCACACAGAACCGTTAGTGGTGACTAATGGTGCACAGCGAACCACGCTGTGCGAGCTCTGGGCCAGAAGGGTTCTTGTATCCAGCGTCCTCATTCTCTTTGGATGCTTGTCCCTGGCACACTCCCCTTTGTGTCAGGTCTTCCTGAGTCGAGCCTGTAAGCAGAAACAGAGGAAGCACAGCTGTATTTTCCCCTGAGCCATGCGTTTCTCTAATGACACGTAAAGATGTGGGAGAAAAGGGTGATCGTGGCTGATGATTCGGTCGACACAAGGGTTTCCCCTTGACTGCAGGCCAGATGGCAGACGTGTCCTCTCACGTCCCTTGTGCTGCCCGCATCGACACTGATGGCGGGCGTTCCCCATGTCGTGTGTGACCCACTTTGGCTGAGTGAGCAGATGCTTGGAGCTCTGGAGGGAGAGTCCAGAAGGCAGCTGGTGCTCGGGGCTCTGCAGCCCTCGGCGTGGTGACACCTAGCGGGCGTCCTTGCCATCTTGGCCCATCTCAGGATTTATCGTATCTCTGCTCCCTCATGCCCAAGGCTCTGTCCTGTGGTGTAACCCTGGCCCTCGTCCCTTGGCACCTGGCTAATAAGGAAGGGGGCAGGCAGAGGGACACACCGGCGTGTGTGGGAGCCTTGGTGGTCTTAAAAGTCACAGGCTTACCCCCTTCTTTTTGAGTTTATTTTTGTTGAGATAAAATTTACATAATATAAAATTCACCATTTTAACCATCTTAAAGTATACAGTTTCAGTGATTTTTTGGTATATTCATAATGCTGTGCAACCATCACCACTAATTCTAGAACATTCTATCACTCCAGAAAGAAACCTGAGCCTGTTAGCAGTGAGTCCCAATTTCCCCTACCCCAAGCCCCTGGCAACCAGGAATCTACCTTCCATCTCTCTGGATTTGCCTGTTCTGGACGTTTCACCTAAATGGAATCCTTCACGCTGTGGTCTTTTGTGTCTGGCTTCTTTCACTTAGGGTAAACGTTTTCTGGGTTCATCTGCATCATAGCGTGAGTCAGGACTTGGTTCCCTCTCTCCCCGTGTAGAGAGGAGGAAAGGAAGGAGTGGAGAGAGAGCCGCTGGCGGGGTCGTGTTCCTCTCGAGACACTGCTTCTCCAAATCCTTATCGACACAGACGCTTTGCTTTTCTAGGAAGCCTGTGGAGGCGGGTCCCCCAGCGCCCCTAGGGGATGCAGCACTAACACTCCCCCACCCCCGGGACTGACTGACTGCTGTTGCCTGGTTGCATGCTCTCCGTTTCTATGATGGAGAGGTGTGGCCGCGGTGGCAGAGCTCCCCGCCTCCCCGCATGCACCTTTGCTCCAACGCGGCACCCCTATCCCTCTGTCTTGCAGTCCTACCAGGACCTGGTCCAGCGCCTTGAACCGGTGATCATGGAGCTGGAGCGGCAGGAGAACGTGCTGGTGATCTGCCACCAGGCTGTCCTGCGCTGCCTCCTGGCCTACTTCCTGGATAAGAGTGCAGGTGCACCATCCTCGCTGCTTCCCTGGTGGAGGGGAGGGAGGGAGGAGAAGCCAGCCTGAGTCTGGGGTAGCTGTGGGCCACACGCTTCCTCGCCCAGCCCACGTGGTTGTCTGTTGTGCTGCTGCCTGTCAGGAAGGGCCTCCCAGCTGCACAGGGGCCTTCTCCACCCAGTGCCTCCCTGCGGCCCCTGGGAAACTCTTCAGAGCACAGTTTGATGCACAGTGGGCTTAACAGCTTGGTAAAACAGCCTCGAGGGGGCCTTGGGTCAGCTGGTGAGGGGATAGCCCTTCTTCTCCTTAGCCTTCTTCTAAGGAACAAACAGCCTAGAACACTCTAACAATACTCTCACAGTTTAAGTCTGTGTCTGCCTGAGTTTCAGCTGAATCTCGACGTGCCTAAACTGTTTGAGGAAAGAATGTCCTTTTTTTTTTTTTTTTTTTTTGGTGAGGAAGAGTGGCCCTGAGCTACCATCTGTGCCCATCATCCTATATTTTGTATGTGGGACGCCACCACAGCATGGCTTGATGACCCATGCTAAGTCCACACCCAGGATCCAAACCTGCAAACCCTGGGCTCCTGAAGCAGAACTTAACCACTACACCACCAGGCCAGCCCCTGAATGGCTTTTTTTATTCTGAAGGATGTGGTCCACAACTACCCCAAACATTTTTTCTCTTAACTCATTGCGTGAGGGTGGGTTTGGGGCTTTGTTTTGATTTTGTTCTTTTGACTAGATGTCTTTTCTAGGGCAGCCCAAGGGCCCGTGTGAGGGGTGAGGGTGGCTTCTGAGGGTGCCGTCGTGGCAGGAGCCCTCGCCAGGGGCCTGCAGGTGCCCGTCCTCGAGCCTCCTATCTAACCGTGGGTGCTTTCTCCTCTTTTCAGAGGAGATGCCTTACCTGAAATGCCCGCTCCACACTGTCCTGAAGCTGACGCCCATCGCTTATGGTGAGTGTGGTGGCCCAGCCCCTGCCGGGACCTTTTCCCTGGGGACGGTGGCTCCTCGTGGCTGTGGGGCTGTGAGCCGCTGTCCCCTTTAACCAGAAACCGACCTTTCTCCCCGCTCTCGCCTAGGTTGCCGCGTAGAATCCATCTACCTGAACGTGGAGTCGGTGAACACACACCGGGAGAGGTCCGAGGTGAGTGTGAGCTCCTGCCTCTGGCCCTTCCACCCCGCTGTCCCGTCCCCCATCCCGAGCAGGATTGTCGAGGGACGGGATCCGTGGTGGGGCGTCCCACCTGCATTGCCTGTGAGTGCTGACCTGTGTCCTTCAGTGGGTTCTCGCTGGAGGAGTTGGCTGGAACTCAGCAGCCTGGGTGACTGTCCCCTCCCTTTTCTTGGCGTCCCTTTCTTGTGGCTTCTGGGCATCTTTTTTTCCCTTCCTGTCCATGCTTTCGTTCCCCACGTCTGTTTGACCCGAGCAGTGAGTGTTAAAGAGGAAGACGCAGTCTGCCCCTTCAGACGTAGCCACACTGTGGCTGCTGCCTCTCCCTTTGGGGCAGTCAGCCCAAACCACTTTCAAGTTCCCGAGTTAACTGGTTAAAACAGGATCAGCAAATCCCCTCAGTCACCTACATGCACTTAGGTACAGAATTACCCAGAAGACGATGACGCCAAGAAAGGCAGTGGGGCCGGAGAGGCAGATATGATTTGGGAATTAGAAACATGAGGGATGGCGGATGGAAAGTGTTTCCGGCGGCCCCGACTTCTACCTTGGGAGGTCTGAAGTGTGGCGGTTGGTCTGGTTGGGGCTCCCAAGGGCAGAGCAGACCTGCCTGGGCCTATGTTGTGAAAGAAAGTTTGAGTTTACTTTATACCGACTGTCGAAATGCACCACTTTGCCAGCATCTGTCCGACCCTTTCTTGTACACCCAGTGTGACGTGCCGTCCGTGCAGGTGACTTCCCCATTCCCGAGGAGCTCGGCCAGAACATTGTGGCATTAAAACCCCAGCTTCCAGTGGCTGGTTGATGGAATCGGGGAAGGACGCCTTCCCCTGGCCCTGTGACAGGCCCCCTTCTGAACGCAGGTGGCCGGATGCTGTATGTCCTTTCGCTCTGCGAGGAGCAGCCCGTGGCTGGTGCTGCTTCCCAGCCTGGCTCCTTGGCTCCTGAGCTGCAGGGCGATGGGCCATGGGACTTCAGATGTCCCCGTTCCAATGTCCTTGTCACATGATCGGAAGGCTAGTGTTTGGCCCTGGCTGGCCGGTCATGCCTCCCCCCCCACCCCCCGGTTTTCTGCGTCTTCAGTCTCCCAGCCGCGGTTGAAGCCTCGTTTCCTGCCCTAGGCGCGGGTAGAGTGATGGGGAGCATGAGCTGCCCCATGTCTGCTCTGCAGATCCTGGCTCATGGTCAGTGCGAGGCAGTCCAGCACCGACACCTTCTCCTCCGTGCCCCTGTCGCTGTCCGCTCAGTGCTTCCCTGAGCCTCACGCCCAGGCGTCTCCTCCTCTCCCCTCCCTAGGCTCTCTTGGACGCTGGTAGCAAAGTTCTTTTCTCCCCCCTCGTTATCTGCTGTATTGGATGACTCTGCACACCTGGTCCCGCTGTTCTTCCCTCACCTGCTGTGCTAGCGGGTCACGTGTGTCCGGGCGGGCGTCTTGGATGATCTGGGAAAGGGGTTTGGGAGGGGGTCGTTCGCTGCTCTTGCCGACTGGGAGACACAGGACAGAAGGGCAACCCCGCGGTCCCGGGGCTGCTCACCGTGGTCAGTCTTGTATCAGTAAAACCCAGAAGCAGAGAAACATGTTTGGTTTGGTTTTGGTTTTTTATTTTTGGCTTATTTACCTCCCCCTTCCTTGTAACTGTCGCCTTCTCTCTTTTGTCTTTGTCTCGCTTAGGATGCAAAGAAGGGACCTAACCCGCTCATGAGACGCAATAGTGTCACCCCACTAGCCAGCCCCGAGCCCACCAAAAAGCCTCGCATCAACAGCTTTGAGGAGCATGTGGCCTCTACCTCCGCTGCCCTGCCCAACTGCCTGCCCCCGGAAGTGCCCACGCAGCTGCCCGGACAAGTGCGTTGACCCCTTTTCCGCCCTCACCGTCGAGCCCCGTGTCTGGGTGGGGAGAGAGCACCCCGGTGGGTGTGGCCGTGGCCTCGGACCAGGGCCTGCCTGTGCGTGTGGATGGGGGAGCGGGAGAGCCTAGGGATGCGCCTCTGAAGTTGGGGACACCTGGAGGTCCCTCCTGGCTGGCGATGGCAGTGAGTGCTCACACCTCCTGTCTTAGGAGGTGATCTTTGAGGCCAGAACCGGGCAGAGCAGAAGAACTAGTAGAGTGTCCCGTTCACATGCATGAATAGACTTTTCTAGAACAAAGTCGATGGCAAACCCCCAGTTCAGAGTCTCCGTTCCGCTCTGGGCCCTTGGCTTCCTTGGGGTCTGAGGCCGTTTTTCCTGTCCGAGGCCCACGGCTGAGTATTCTTCCTTGCTTTCCTCCCTTGCCATCGCTCCCCTTACACACGGGGCCCATGGAGCGTATCCTCACCCGGAGCCAGTCAGGCCCCATTAGAACCCTGACTCGCAAGGCTGGATGGCCTGGAAATAGTCACCCTTTCATATCACATAGTGACTTCAGCAGGTAGTAAAAAACCAAGTAGGTTTCACTGATTTCATTCACTATGAAGATTAACGGCTGGAAGACTGTGGCGATAGGGCATTAAGATTTGTCTTCGGAAAACCAGTCTTTTTCTCAAAGACAGCCAGGAACCTTTGCCGTAACGGGAGACATCGAAATTCCTGGGCACAAATTTAGGCCCCACCCAGGGGTCTCCCCCACCTCCACCCACCACGCCTGGTTTCTTACAAATATAATCACGGCCTAAATTTCGGCTTGGGTTTGTTTGTGAGCTCGGCGCTGAGGCCCGCAAACTCTGCCCGTATTTCCCCCGAAGCTTACTGAAACCTGGTGGTGTCTGGAAGTGGGAGGTGGGGAGACGGCTGCGTGGCCTCTCATGGGTTCAGGTGTCCCATCTGTGGAATGGGAGACAGCACCTCCTGCAGGAGGCGGGTCAAAGGAGGTCATTCAGCGTCTCTCACAGCATGTGGCGCACCTCGGGGCTCCGTAGGGTCAGACGGTGTTTAACCAGAGCCCTGAGATCTGGCTTCCGGTTGTGGCTCTGCCCGCCGCTGTAGGATTTTCTTGTCAGGTTACATCATCTCCCTGGCTTTCCGTCTCCTTATCTTTTAAAATGAAGGGTAGCACTGGGAGACGTCTAATTAACACTCCTTTCAGGTCTAACCTCAGAGGTGTTTTTTTTTTATGAAAACTGAGAGCTGAAGTGGTGTCTCGATGACATTCTGTTTTGGAGGAAACTGTAGGGTCATAGGAAGTTTAGAGGCTGCTGTCACAGGCACCTGGGGGCACTGGCCTGGGCCGGGGTTGGGTGGTGCGTGGGGCTGTGTTGTTCTGGGTCACGGAGGATGCATGGCTGGCGACTTTGCCAGGACAGTCCTTCGGGGTTGCCGAGCTGAATCCTTGGAGGGGCTGGAAGCCACTGACTGGGCCAGGAGTCGGGGGGTTGACGGGGGTTCATCCCAGCAGAGGATGTCCTGGGTTCGAATGACTCGGGCCCCTTTCCCTGTCCGTCTACTAACTTCTCTCTCTCGACCTTTCTCTCTGCAGCCTTTGCTAGGGAAGGCCTGTTTGTAAGTATTTTCCTCTGAATGATTTTGCTGCTTGTGTCTCTCTCTTGCTTGCCAGTTTGGCCTCCTGTGTGTTACCATGTTGAGGCTAGTGACGATTTTTGTGAAATCGGAAGGAGGAAGATGGGCATGGGAGGGGGGAGAGGAGGGAACTGGTGAATTTTTGGCGAAGGATGCTGGAAGTCATTACGGCCCAGCTGTTTTCGGGGCATCCTGATGCTGCCACGGCTACAGCTGGCTTCTCCTCACTCCCTCCCAGGACCCTAGATTACTCTTAATACTGGCAATCGTCTGTGGCTTGACAGAAATCCAGTTTTTCCCTCTTAAGCGTTCGATTTTGGTAGCGAGCTAGCTCTCTGCTGCTGCCGGTGTCTTGAGTCCTCTCTGCCTGTCCCAGGAGAGCCCTTTCCTTTTGAAAAGAAAGTTTACCCAGAGCCTGATGTGCAGAACACATCAAGCAGGACTGGTGGGGACTGGAGCCCTACAGCCTCTCCCTCCCTGTCCTGGCAGGGGCCCCTCCCCACCAGGGGTCCCAAGGACCCCCCGCTCTGGAGAGGTCTCTTGACATCCTTCTGGATCGGGTTATCCTGTATGGGAACCTGCTCAGCCTTAACAGTGAAGTTCAGAATTTTGGGTGCAGCTTTTGAATCAGACCCCCCGGGTTCTCCCTTTCCTTCAGCCGGACCTCTCTGCAGAAAGTTGTGGTCTGTGAGCCAGAACAGCCGCTGGAGAACCCCGCCTTCCCACGGCTCCAGTGGTCACCGCCCACGGAAGGAACCGAGGCCTTTCTATCGGCAGGGTTTTAGTAACAGCCACCGTGAAATACCACCCTCCCCAACCCCACGAGTTATGTCTGTCCGTGTTCCCTTCGCTGCTTAGATGACCTTTTCTAATTCGTGCAGAAACTGAAGTGGCTTGCAGAGTGCAGCCTGATAAGCTTAAAAGCATGGCTTGTTCTTGGAAAATAGGAGTTCTTGGGCATCGTGCTTCGATTAGGTGGCACCACCTGTAGGGAAGTACGTTCCATCATGCTTTTACAGCTCATGGAGAATGTGTTTGCGGATATCCCATGTCTTCTGTCCTTAAAATAATCCTAGGAGGTCAGCAGGGCAGGCACTATCACTGTCTACCAGATGAGGGCCAAGGGTAAGCCACTCGCCCTCAGTCGTCCAGCTGGCAGCCACGGAACCAGGGCGGGAGTGGGCCTCCCAGTTCTGAAGGCTGGCTGCTTGCTCTCTGCTGGTTTCTGGGAAAAGCCAAGATGCTGTTCACCTACCCCCATCCCGTCCCGGGCACCTGACGCCTGCAGCCTGCAGGGTGCTGCCCGGAGCTGTTAGACTGCCGTTTTAGCTCTTGCTGCCCCTCCCTCGCAGCTGCTTCCTGTGGGTCGGTCGTGTTTACTTAACAGTGGGCCTGTCCATTAAATCCAGTCTTGAAGAGTAACAGTCCCGTGTCTGTTAGCCCCTGAAGCCAGGCGTTGTCCTCGCAACGCTTCAGGATCAAGGTTCTCCTTGTGTGAAAACTACCCTTTGGATTTGCAGCCTTATGGTCTTGCATCTGTGCATATCCTGTTAATTTTGACCCATGGCCTGACACTGCCAGAAAAGAAGGCTTCCCAGTGGGAGGGGGCCATTCGGGCACATCCCCCCACCTTCTAAGGTTGAACTTGCCTGTTTCCAAGGTTAACAGTGCCTTGGGCTGGAATCCCTGCAGCTCAGCAAAAATATATCCTCTGGACCCCTCACACCTGCCTTCCACTCTGGGGTCCCGGCATCCAGCCCAACCTGGGAGGATGAGCTTGTGTCTGGGATTGTAGATACCGAAATTTATTATTAAAGTCAAACTGAGCCGGGTTTGGATCTTGGTTCCACTACCCTCTGTCTTTGCAGCTCTGGGTGAGGTAGCATGGTTCTCAGACTGCAAACTCCTCATCTATGCCGTGGGGAGAGGAACATCGTGAGGTGGTCTGATAATGAGGCTATACATGTAGCACTTAGCAAATATCTGGCACACGGTCAGTGCCTGGCGGACGATGCTGTCATTGTGAGAGAGAGGGTGCCCTGACCTTTGGTGGTGCAGCCAGGGCCCTCTAGTCTGGGCCACACCACTGTGCAGTTGGCTGCCCTCCTGCTCCGTCTGCACCAGGCCAGTGGGATTTCTTCTCACGATCAGCAGGAGCATCACTGGGGAGTGAGGGAGCCGCAGGATGTGATCCTGGTTTCCCGGTAACACGGGCCCCCAGCTGGGATGGGTGCACCACCCTGCCGTCCCCACCAGGACTGCATCGGCTGCTCAGGGCCGACAGACCTTCTGGCATTCACAATGCATCCTTGATTTTTTACCTTTCAAATGCACACTGAAGAGAAAATACTGCTAAAGATGTTTGTTTTATTTTTCTTTTCCGACATGTTTCTTTCTTTTCCCCGCTATGCTTGAAAGACGAACTGTCTGTCACATTTTCTCAAAGTTTTCTCCTTACTAACCTTGGAAAGGTAAATGGCTCGGTGCATGCCCCTGTCTGTCCTCTCCACATCTCTCCGAGTCATGGCATCCCAGCCCGTCAGGGCGTCTCGGTCTGTGTGAAGACTGGCCATCGTGAAGTTTGTGACTCATACACCCCATGCCAGAGTGCCAGAGAACTTGTGTTTCTTAAGAGCAGCACCGTTGTCTGGAGGTCCTCTCTCTCTCGTTTCCTCCTTTCCCTCCATGTGTCCTGAGCCCGGGGCACCATGAGTGAATGATGTGGACATAGCCCGTGCCTGCAGTCCCAGTGTCATTGTTCCCTTTCCATCATTCGTGGGTGCTTGAAGCCTTGGGCTCAAGATGTCCGGGGGCGGGTTGGAGCCAGCAGCTGCAGAGACGTGGCAATACCTCACCTTCACGCCCCACAGGGTGGCTGGGTCCTCTCTGGCTGTCAGGCTACCGGGCCCTCTCCAGACGAGCCCCCTGTGCCTCCCCCCAACTCACAGAGTCTGTCCGATGGACTCGTGGTTGGAGGTTCGACTTGCCTGGGCTCCTGAATCCGGCTCACAGCAAGCTCGGATCTGGGCGCTGGCTTCCGGGCTATCAGCCCTGTGATTCGCTTCTCTAGAGATTTCTCCACCGTGGGCCCTCGGTTCTATGCAGAGGGGGCTAGGCCTCAGCGATCCTTGCATTTCCGTCTGCGTGGGCTCCACTCCCCCTCCCCCTTTAAGACAGCCTCCCACTGAGGATGGGAGAGAATGCTTTTAAAAATTGTATTTCCTTTTTTGTGAGGTGGATGAAGGAGATTAGGTCGAGAGACCACTGCCGTGCAGTGGCAGCCGTCATCTGTCCAATGCTGATTGGAAACCTTGTTTTAAGGGGGTCTTGAGCCAGCCCTTAGGGGTGGGGCTTCCAGCCAGGATCACTTTTATTAGCGGGAAGAGAGCGTCAGTGACACAGGCCCTCTCTGTCTCGGTCCTCCCCTGCCTCGTCCAGCATCACCTGCATTCTAGCTGCCGAGCCCGTTTCCCAGAGTCTGGATCCCAAGGGCTGGGCCATGCTGCTTTGCCGGAACCGAGTCGGGAGGAGAGTCCTTATGCTTCTTTAGAGGGACCCTGGTACATCCCCTCTCTGGCTGTCGCCCGTGAGAGTCCCCCGGGTGGGGGCCAGGGGGCAGCCACTCGGCTCTAAAGAGTCGTGAACAGGAGGGTCCCTTAGGTGCTGGCGCCCAGTGCTCCCCAGAACAGCTCTGACCCACGTGTGCTGCCGACTCTCCCCCTATCCTTCCTCGCCTCCTCCAGGCAGATGACAGGCCTCTCTCCTCCGAGGGCCTCTGCCCCCTGGCCTTGCGCCCAGCCCTTCTCCTGTGTGACCCTGGGCTTCATCTCTACCACGTTCCTGGGTCCTCCCTGGCTTCCTTCCACCTGTTTGGCCATACCACTCTTCCACAGTCGTGCTCTTTGTCGGGGGAGACGTCTCGATTGCATGGCCGTGAGTCTTGCTGTAGAAACCTGGTCAACAGTAAGCATAATTCCCCTTCTCCCCCTCTTTTCTCCTGCCCAGAACGTGAAGGCCTCCCAGAGCAGCGCCGACTCCTCCAGGACGCACTGAGGCAGCCCGTCGGTCCCGTTCCATCTCCATTTCTGCACCTAGCTAGCATTCTTCCCTCTCCCCGAGGCCAGACGCTCCCATGGACTTCTCCAGAATAGGGTAGGGTGGTGTAGAAGAGGGGTCTGCGGTTGAAGAGGAGCTGTGCGCCCGACAGCATCGGATAGGGGTGGCCTTGCCCGTGTGCGGAATCCATCGCTTTGGCATCGAGCTGCAGGCCACCCCATCCCCTGCCCTCCCCGGCCTTGCAGGGCTCTGTGGCCTCCCTGCCCTTCCGCAGGGCTTGGTGAGGACGATGGGCAGCGGAGGAGGAGAGAAGACCCCGAGGCAGGACGTCGGGCGCCTCCATGGTGGTTCCCTGCCTTTCTGTGGTCTCGGCCTGATATGTCCTCAGCTGGCGAGATGACGCTGCTCTGAACCCTAAAATTAAAGGGGGCCTAGATCCCAGCTGCTGAAGGGATGTTGAAAACTTTCACGAGCCTCCTTGGTGCATCTCGGCCTGGGACGGGGACTTGTGAAGGACGGCCTCAGGGGTCACTGGAGAGCCAGTCCCGGCGGTAGAGCAAGAAGTCCCTGAGCTAGACTTGCTGGTCCCTGAGCAGCGGCCCTCTGGCATGTCCACACACCTTCCCAGACCGGTTCCTGCCTGGAACCATGTTAAAGGACAGTCTGGCTGTCTAGGCAAGAGGGGATAATTTGCTGAACTGACAGTGGGGCCTCCACACGGTCCCTCTGCTCTCCTGCCTGGACCAGGGGCGTCAGAGCTGGCTCTCCGGGGGCTGCTGGCTTTTGCACTTTGTTCGTGGCAGACAGTGTGGCCTGAACGTTGCACCTTCTCTTCAGGAACTTCGATGTCTGGGTTTTGTGCCCTTGGCGGGGAGGGGGCTGGAGCTCTGTAAGAATGTGGGGAGTTGGGCAGCCCATGAATGGGGTGTTCAGAGGGCCCCCAGTAAACCGGCCTGGGAGCGCGTTGGGATCATTGCAACACCGAGGCTGGGAGACTGGCGTGGAGAAGAACGAGGATGCGCCTCCTTCTTTCAGGACGCTCATCACCTCCTAAGTTTCCCAGGTGGGGACAGTGGCCCAAGCCAGGCCTCGCTCGTGGCCACTTCCTCCAACAGGCTGTCGGTGGTGTCCCGGCAGGATTCGGCTCAACTCTGCATGTTTCTGTCGAGCATCTGCTGTGGCGCTGGGTTCCTTAGGGGATTCCGCAGAAGAGAATGTCCTCGCTTGCCTTCGTGGCACCTGTGGCATTTTTTGAGGGCGTTCAAAGCAGGGCTGGTGGGACATGTGGTTCTAAATACCTGTACTTTCTGCCTGCTGGTTTCTCCTTGTTGCCTCCAAGTCCTGGGGGAGGAGGCGGTGTCCTGAGGCCCAGAAGAAGCCATTTGGAGACTCAGCAGTAGGGTTCGTCCAAGTGACCCGTGTAAGGATCTCTAGAGGTCGTGCCAAAGGTCGCTTTCCTTTCCTGCCCTCCGCCTTCGAGCCTGACATCGTCAGCCCTCCTAGCATATGAGATGGTTCTGGGGATTGGGGCTGGGGAGGCTTCGATGGCTGGAGCTGCGAGCAGAGGGAAGAGCTGGTTTTGTTTTGTTTGAGAACAGCTTTTAAGGAATGTACGTTTCTCTGGTTGAGTTTAAGTAGGACACAGGGACACGCACCCTTCAGATACCGGACAATCGAGTTTGTGGTTTTCCCACCAAACCATTCAAATCCCACCCGCCCCCCGACCATGGGCAGTCCGCCTGAGAGGATGTCTGTGTACATTCCTGTGCGGCTGGAGTCTAGGTTATTTTCCCTCTTTCCCCTCCATCTCGAGTCTAATGAGTCAGCGTGTGTGTGTGTGTGTGTGTGCGTGCGCGCGCATGCACACCAGTGTATGTTTGTAGGTTGGTGGTACTTGTAGACAGAGGGGCCTGCAGCTCTGCTCCAGAGAGTGGCCTTCTTAGGTCTCACTTTCTGGCCACCTCCTCTTTCTGGCTGCCCCAGCCGACTCTGAATCTCGACTCTCGAGGCTGGTCCGAGTGGGGCTCTGCGCAGGTGCACCCCTGGCCTGAGTGTCTGACATCAGTCCGAACATGAACAAGGCTTTGCCTAACACAGACCTCTAGATTGCAAGGGCCTACATGACGAGATGGAACAGAAAGATGGCCGAGGAGGGAAGACCCCGGAGAGAGCAGAAAGCTGCCTGATTGAAAGCTAGCGAGCTGACCGCCGAGGCGTGTTGGACAGAGTGTGTGTCTGAGCTGCAGTCCCGGAGCCTCTGCTGCCCTGTCTGTTGACTCTCACCCCCTGAAAATATGTGGGACCAATTTTTTTTAACTCTGCCTATTTGTGTTTGGGTGGGCTTACTCTCTTGTTATTCTGTCCTGAGACAGTGGGCGAAGCTCTTCATTTGGGGGGAGAAGAAAAAACTGTTAGAACCACGCCAATGACGTTTTCGTTTGTAATACTTGAAATTTATTTTTTTATTATTTTGATAGCAGATGTGCTATTTATTTATTTAATATGTATAAGGGAGCCTGAAAATAGAAAGCTGTATAGATTGGGTGTAGTCGTTCGTTGGTTTGGGGGCCTCTTACGTGTGACACATGACTTCTCTGTGTTCTGTACATTTGTCTGAATTAATTATCCGGGATGAAGCTGTGCCAGCTTTCCAACAGGGGTTGCCTTTCAGAAATTTGTATATTTTGCAGTTGCCAGACCAATAAAATACCTGATTGAAATACACTGATGAAATGCACTTCTGGGCCTTTTTGGAGGGGAGGAAGCATCTTTGATTGACACTTGCGGTCAGGGCATCACGTTTCTACCACTTAGCTCCTGACTAGCACGCCATCACCTTCCTCTAAACAGGACCTGCAGATGCTGACTGCCTGGTGCCTACATTTGGGAAACAATAAGCTGTGTCAACTTAGAAAAAATAGACTTTATGTCTTAGAGCAGTTTTAGGTTTGCAGAACAGAGCAGATTGCACGGAGAATTTCCAGAGGCCCCCTCTGGCCTTGCACACAGTGTCCCGTATTATTAATGTCTTGCACTGGTCTGGTGCATCGGTTGCAATGGATGAGCTAATATTGATAGGTTACTAGTAACTGGGATCCATAGTCGGCACTAGGGTTCACTCTGGGTTGTACGTTTCTGTGGGTTTTGACAAATGCCACTGAGAAGTATCTGCCATGACGGTGTACAGAATGCTCCATCAATTTCTATTCCCTTCCTTCCATACCCTTTCTGCGAAGCCCTTTCAAACAGCAGCAGTTCTCAGGCAAGTGTTGCAGAACAGGACAGGGCCCCGGGCAGGATGACAGGAAGGCTCTTGTTTTAGGTTCTGGGTTCCTCTCACTTCTCCACGCTTCCCCCCGACCCCGTCATAGCTCCTTTCAAGGTTCCATTGGAAAAAGACTCAATCGAACTTCTAGGACTATTTCGCCACAACCTGAGAAGTTATTTCACTTCTGAGCTTCAGCATCTTCCTCGCTGCAGAGGAGCACACTATTTACAGGCAAGGTTGAGGGTTGAATGAGAACATTCATACAGTATAAGGCAGCTGGAGCATTTCCTCCAGGTGAAGTATTTATGACCGGCACAGCTTGCACTGGGTCTGGTTTGTTTTCCCATAGCCCCCACTGCCACCCTCCAGAAATAGCCCTTATACTCAAATTAGTCTTCCTGCATCCCTTCTGCTTTCCCAACCCTAGCTGTGAAGAGAACAGGAGGCAGCAATTTGGCACCTCCATTTTGAAATGACTCCCAAGGTTATCTTCTGTCACCAGTACGATGGGACAGACGGTTGTGATGAAGGGTCTTGCCTGGCGACTAGAGTGTGGACACCCGCTGCCCGTCAGGCTGACCCACACTTCAGGCCAGCACCCAAGTTCTGAGCCCATGTTTGAATGCTCATTATGTGTTGGGTGCAGTGCTTAGAGAGGTGGCCTTCACAGACGCGGGTCTTTGCCCCCAGATTCCCCAGGGCCAGGCTTTCAGGCTATCTACCGAGGAATTTGGAAGTCTGCCCTGAAAGAGGAGGTACACATACTTTGAAGTCCTGGGCCTGCAGGGGGGTGGGGATCTGCAACAGGTCTGTGACCTGAGATGCGTCTGTGTGTGACCTTGGGCAAGGGCTATGATTATTGAATAAATATTGAATGAGTAACCAACTGGATGAGTCTTCGGAGAAGAGGTGCAGAGGGCTGCGGCAAGGTGCGTGCCAGAAACATTCATTCATTACTCAGGTCCTAAATGGGAGCCAGACAATCTGTGGTCTTTGTACCTTGAAAAGCAGACTAGGAATTCCCCTGGAGCAGACAGTCACTATGCTGAATACTAACAGCTGAGATGCTAAGGACTTGATCTTATGCCACCCTTACGAGGGCCCAGAGAGGGGAGGGTGTTATTCTCACACCCATTTTACAGATGAAGAATCTGAGACTCGGGGAACATAAATAACCTACCAGAAACCACTTGGCAGGTAAATTTCAGGGGTTCAAATCCAGCTAATAACGTTCGTGGCTTTGACCATTATGAAATTCCACCTCCACCTCTTCTCTGTCTTTCCACAGAGCTAAGGTGAGTTTTTTCACAGCCAGTGTGAATTAGCAGTGGAACTGGCGAGAGTCAGGTCCGCTCTAAGCTCCTTGCCTGCTGGGCTAGGAGGCTGGGTGGTGCCTCCCACCGTGCTCCCCGAGGTGCCCAGCTGGTGGTCAAATGGTCAGAGTCTTCAGGGCAGTCATAAGCAGCCCACCAGGAGAAGCTGGGAGCCCTAGCCCAGATTTTGGAAATTCTCAGGTAAGAGCCCCAATCCGTCCTGGCAATAGCTTCTCACATCAAGAATTTTACTAGCACTTCTCACTGGTTGCAAATAGCACCGTAGCTAAAGGGTGGGTGGGGAGTGGAGGGTGGGAGTGAGCAAGAGAGTGCTCAGGAAGGGTTTGCTGCAGTGAGATGACCTTGGAGAAAATGGAATTGGTAGCCCGGAATTGGGGCCAGGCTGCGTCTGCATTCCTGCCACGCACTCCCCACCAGCAGGCCGGGGTGGCCAGGAGGAGCCCCCAGCCAGAGGGATTCTCACCTCACTTGGCCCCCAGCTCACTTTCCGCTTTTCTCGTGGGCGCGGTTGAGAATGTGTTAACTTGGAATTACTTAGGAAATAGTTCTGGGAGAATTGGTCAACTTTTTGGGAGGGAAAAGCTGATTAGATCACAGTGTTGCACCACCCATATTGACCTAAGTGTTAAAAAGAAATCAAACTATTGAAAAGGAAAAGGAAATATTGGTGAATATCCAATTTGGGGGTGGGAAAAGACTAAACTTAAAAGCGATATAAGGAAGTGCAAAGAAAATATTGAAATTCCACAATGTAAATATTTTAAGTTCAAGGTCATCAAAAAGCATCATAAGCAAAAGGCAAACAACATTCCAGGAAAGTATTTGCAACAATTCCACCCCTAAATTATCCTAAAATAGATTGGGAATACAGCCACAGCGATAAGAAAAACACGGACACCCTTCTTGTTACCTGGGCAAAGGCTTTTATTCAATCCTCACTAGAAACCTTTGCAACCTTTTAAAGACCAAAGATGAGCCAACTGAAGGCTGGTGAAGTTAAGCTCTAAAAGTTGTTTTATAAACTTCATTTTGAGCTCACATTTTTCGAGACAGTGTGTGTGGGTTTGGATCAGCTTTTTCTCGGTATGTGAGCACCTCTTTCCATCGATGGCTAAGGACACCTGTAAAGGCTCTGGTTTCAACCTACAGGTTCTGAGCTACTCCTAACACCATACTAAGAGAGCACCCCCATACAGACAACAGAAGCACTTCGAACACGGTACTTGAGCCACTTAGGACTACAGAGGACCCTTCGCACACTCCCTGAGAGAGGTCTTGGATGCATTTAACAATGTGGGCGCCCGTGCTGGAAGCCCCATCTCCTTTTCACACACAGGGATCATTAGCCACGTGAGATTCAACGTATAGGGTGAAATGAAGATTAGGGGCAGGCTGCGTTGGTGGACTGTTAGAAACCTAATGGTGGTGGGGATGAAGGTGGGCACAGTGGAGAAGTGCCCCCGATAGATAAAGTGTTACGTAACATTGCATTGTCAGTAACTGCTCGACGCAGGGGGATCTTGGGGGTACAGGTAAGCCATCCATTTTCAGCTCCTTGAGGGCTCAACGTCAGCTGCAGGCATCAGAGTAGCTAGATCAGAGTCCGACATGTTGCATTAACTAAACAGAAGATGACCCACGTGCATATTCTGGCAACTACATTTAGTGAACAAAGGGGCAGGGGAGGCACTCGAGGTCTGGGTGGGACCTGGTTCATTTCCACCAGTGCTGGCTGTGTAGTGGAATCAAGGAACGAAGGGGCTGGGAAGAGGGGAGGCAGCCAGCCCAGTGCAATGAAGCAATGAGACAAGATCGGGCCATGGAGATGACAGTCCCGGGTTCACCTCTCTGTCCCACCACGTTCTAGATGTGTGGACTTGAACAAGATATTTCATGTTTTTTAACTTGTCCCCCATTCATAAAATGGGGAAATTCAGACTATATTTTTCATTATAAGAGGCAGCCTCAATGTATTAACTTTTCATGCAAACCGGAACAAACCATATGCACATCCAATGCAAGACAAAATTCCATCATGGATGTGTTAAATGGAGACAGAAATTTTCCTTGGAAGTGAAGAAGTACTGCAATTACTTTTCAGGCTTTTTATGAGGACTAAATCTTATAAATGAAGAGCCCTGGACCGTTCCTGGCACAGAGGAAGCACGGACGTGGCAGTGCTCGAATGATGTCTGCTGGGTGCTTGAAATGCAAAGTTGATACTGTTATCCCCACTTGGTGGATGTGGAACTGAGGCCAGGAGAATATAAGGATCCTGCTTGATTTTGGCCCAGCCCCAGCTGGATGGAGGTCAGCCCGGGGTCTGTCAGACTGCCAGATCCCACAGCCTAAGAACCGCACGGCTGAGCCCGGCTCTGCTGGATGGATCGCCAACCACAGGAATGGGACTGAGTCACATGTTAGTTATCGAACAGATGTTTGTGTCCCTGGGCCTTTGGAGAGGTCTGTCTGCGTCCAAATGAATTCCAGGTTTTCTTTCAGGGGTCGTGATTCAAGATGCCCACAGAAACTTAGAGACCAGATATCCAGTCACGAAGGTTCTCTGTTCTCCCCTTCTCTCCCACAAAGCAGGGCCTCGACAGCATCTTTTGGGATGCCCTCCTCCTGGGGTACCTGAAGACCTTCCCAGGGGTACACCTGCACAGATAGTTTTAGGGGAACAGGTTTCCAGGTCCTCAGCTTCCACAGTCACCCTTTCCAGAATAGCCTGAGAAGTCTGCTTACACTCCTAGGAGTCTTTCTCTGCTTTGCAAGCAAAAGGCACACCCCCACCCACCCCAAAAGCTCTGGCTACAGGGCATTGCCCCCAGGGTGGAAACACCTCCTGGCACCTGACGAAGAGATACCCCTTCCGTGATTAACCGGGTACTGTAAACCCCCAGGGATTTCTTTCCCACCCTCTCTTTCTGTTAAAGATGGGAATGTGTTGAATTTAGAACAATTGAAGCAGTAGTGGCTTCTGCAACAGTTCTCCAACTTTTTGGTCTCAAGGCTACTTTGCAGTCTTAAAATTTATTAAAGCTCTGAAGAGCCCTTGTTTATCTGGCTTTGACATTTGAAATGAAAACTGCAAAATTTAAAAAAATTATTTAATATATAATATAA